AGTGTGGAAAACTTGTGCATATATATATATATATATAAGAAAGCAAAATTAGTTGGCAAATTGATGTAATTGTTTTGCCGCCGGAGGTGCCTGCTAATGCCAAGCAGAGAGTTGATTTGATAATTAGGGGGATTGAATCTTTTTTTTTTCTTTGGTTTGATTACAGTTATATTTTGGGGAGCTTGTAGTGTGGTGAGTTTTTTTTTTTTTTTTCTGGTTGTTCAATTATTTGCTAGTGATGCAACTTGTTGCTGATTATGCTGTTTTGGTTTCTTGTGGTTTGATTATGCAATCAAACAACTTGAGTTTGTTTGTATTAGTACATCTGATTAGTGCAAGTGATCATCAATATATTTCCTTTCATTGAAAATAAAAAGTATTCAAGTGATGTAATTTATTTAAGTGACATGAGGTATTGAAATTATGTGGCATATAGTTTAACAAGTTAAAGAGTAGTGAAAGATTACTTTTATTATGCAATCAAAATTTTTAAAAAAAGGAGTAGGACATCTGATTAGTGAACTATAAGACAAGAATAGAGATTTCTATCTTAAAACTTCAACCTCACTTCATTTTTTTATTATTTACATGAATCAAGTTGGTTTTCTTGATTAATTAGCTCGAAATAAGATTTTGATTTTTTTAATATATAATAATGGAATTATGAGTGAAACAGATTTAAACTTAAAAACTCTAAACAAATTTGAACTCAAAAATTGTAATCTTATTATTTTTTTATTAAATATATCTATAGCAACCATAAATTACCAAGCTGCTAAGTTTTTTCTCTCCATCTGAAGAAAAATCTTCAATCCTTTTTTTGTCACGATGACCAGATTAAAACCTGTGCAAATGGGCAAAAAAGGATTTTGAAACTTGCATGGTAAGGTGGCTATGAATGAATAAGGTCATTTGCCCACTGGCAAGGTACAAAAAGGCACAGGGTGTTGGTGACCTCTCCAGTTATTTTAATTGAGGGTTTTTCAAGGTGCATGCTTTCCACATCAATCCTTGTAGCAGAAGCTGACTTAAGGTTTCCTCAAGAGACTTATCAGAACTTTTGGTGTGCATTAGCAGCCATCCATCCAATTGTTCTAATCCTTGCTTGAACGGATGATGAACCCATACAACCCGAGCATTAAGTTTCAAAAGCAGCTACTTGCGTTATAGGGTTATTCCACATACAGGAGAAATGGTCCTGCCTAAAATGTTAGGTGCATGATGAAGACCGAGCCAAGAGCTAGGGTGGATACAGTTCAGTTTTGATTACAACTGAAACCAAACTATCAGTTAACTAAAATTTTAGATTTTAAAGTTTAGTAACCATTATTTACACTGAAAAAACGAATTTTATTAGTTTTGATTGCATTTTTTAGAATAATAATGTGGATCAATTTTACTTTTAATCAAAAAAATTATTTTTGTATTTTAGTGATTTTTTTGAATTTCTTAACTATTATTTATCAATTTCTATCATTAAAAAAAACTAAAAATTACCTAAATAAATAAATAAATAATTCTGTGAAAAATGACTAGAAAACTTTAAAAAATTTAGAAACCATTAAAAATTTTATATATAAAGGTTTTTGGGTAGAAGTTTTTTATTATACCCACCTCAGTCATTGATTTTTTTGTTTTTAGATATAACAACCAAAACTTAAATCATTTTAAATTGATTCAGATTGGTTTTTAATCAAACAAACTCGAAACCTAATCAAACCCTATCCGTCAATTATGGTTTCCTTAGTTTTCGAAGTTTCTTTCAGTTGCGGCATGAATAAGGCTCAATATTTATGTCTCAGTATTTTCTCACAACCGGGCTGTTAGACTAGAAAGAACAACATATATACTGTCTGTCTATACTAATTTCATCACATACCAATTAGACTGGAAAAACTAAAATTAAATTAGTGTATATGTGAAGTCATCTAGCTGTTAACAGCAACCTTGTATGTCTTATTAGTTAATCAATAAAATAAAATAAAATAAACGTGGTATCTAATTCATCATTAGAAAGTAAGTAGACAATTTTGGGATAATAAAGAAGCCGGTTAAATCACTTTCTTAGCAAACCATATCTTGATAAGGCATAATTGAAAGCATAAACCATTTCACTTTAACATTGATCGACCCACTTTCTAACATTAATTGTCATTGGCTATTTTTAAGAAAGCATAAATCAAAATATGCATGTACTCCTTTAATGTCATGTGACAATTATGAAATAAAATTGTGTGCATTACGTTCACTTTTGTCATAGAATTCATTAAAGCAATTTAAAACAAAGGGATCAAAAGGCTACGAAGCACGGAACTTTTTTTTTTCAAAAAGAATGTTTTGCTAATTTAACAACCAAAACCACAGTGGTGGTGATGGATGACGCTAAACTTTAAGAAAGTTATGGAAATTAATCTGAGAAGAAAATGGAAAGGGGCATCAAAGGAGGATGTGTTTTTGAGAAAAAAGAGATAAAGGGTAAAATCTTATCTCCACGAAAGCTTTACACGTACTGCTGCACATCTATGGAGATCCTTAGATGATGGTGGAATTCAGAAATGAAAAGGGATTTCCTGTATCAGTCTCATTATTGATATGCAGTCACCATTCTTAATGGGAAATTTGATAATTAGTTCTATATATCAAGTAAGGACCACCTTTTTCTCCTAATCCAAGAAAACTGCTCTATTTTGGTCTATTTTCAGGATTAATGGACTGCAAAATTTAAAAGTGGAAATTGATCAACATTATTTAGATAAAAACACTTGAAGTAAAGACATTTTTAAAGAAAATAATTAGATGATTAAATATTTATATAAGAGTACTACTCCTATGAAAAGGGGCAAGTGGGACCGTCTTCCACTTGATGATTTGTCCTAAGTTCTGATTGTTGGTATCACCAAATTGGTGTTAGTCATACACCTACCCTAGAAGGACATTGGTTATAAATCTTTATAGAAATTGTACCTTATAACCTTAGGTGCTGGGTTAAAATTCCTCCCCTCAAATTTGTATTTGTTCAAAAAAAAAAAAAAATAGTGTTAGTCATGATAATGACAAAATCTAATTTATACATTATTAACAACTTCAGTCACAATCACAATTTTAACCTCTCACCTTTAAATCCTTTAGCACACATCATTCAGCCTTTAAAATAACCTTTTTGATGAATATATACGGTAGCTACTTTTAGACAAAAGTATGAGATAAGGACCCACATTTGTACAAAATTAACAATCTCGGACTCAAACTTTAATTACACCCAATTAAGGTCTCAAACTATACAAAATTCTCAAGTTAGGTCCCAATCGGATGAAAAATCAACTTGTCATCAAATGTCTTACAACTCCATTAATGTCCATTACTTTGAGGGGGGATGTAGAGAACTTCATGGGAATCAGCATTCATTGACTCCAAAATTTTCAAAGTCAAAACTCAAATGTCCACCCAATAATATACATCCACATCACCAATCATCCATATGTCTTCTCCCCATTCGTTAAAATTATTTCAGCAAATGCATTTTAAAAACTCTAGTCATCACCTGTTTCTTCCGTCTTCTTTGTCTCCCCATAACCAAAATTCACAAATTTCATCCAAATCCTTCTTGTATGATTGTTGTTTTTCTCTTCAAATCTAAGAAGTTTTTGATAACAGTTGTTTCAATATGGTGTTGTCGGGGCTACAAGGTATCTCTAAAAGGAAAACTTCATCTTCATTGTCATTAGAATTGTCGTTGTCTCATCTAGGTGTTAATAGAGTAGTGATAAGGGAGTCTTTGAGAAAGGATTTAAGGCCTCAGTATCCATTCCGGCTAAAGAACTGGTTCATCATAGGATTGCTTCTTGTGATGGCCATGGGATTCTTAGCTCTCACTCTTTTCCTCTTCCTCAATCTGGATGTCAATCATAGATCTCCTTCCTCTACCCTCGTCACTTCCTCTCCAGGCATCAAGGTAGCTTTAGAAATCATGTTGCAACTTCAATTTCTTTTTTTTGTTTTTTGTTTTTTTTTTTTTTTTTTTTTTTTTTTTTTTGATTTTATGGCATTGAAACTGATCTAAATTGATTGGTTTCTCAATTTGAATACTACTGATCACTTACGGGACAATTATTAAGCTAACATAATAGAGTTTGAACAAGGGAATTATGAATGAGTTAATTCTATTCATGTTTATGCAACACTTATATATACAAGCGCAGAAGCACAAACCTAGTAACCCTATTACAAAGGGAAACATACTATAATATGCACTAAATCAAAGATTGACACTAAATCAAAGATTGACATAAATAAGGAGCGGGAATTGCTCATGAAGAGATTGTGGAGATCTTTTCCTTAACACGCCCCCCGCAAGATGAAGGAGCCGTCTGCAACTCCAATCTTAGATCTCAAATAAGTAAAGCAGCACTGGATAATGGCTTGGTAAGTCCATCGGCGAACTGATTTTTAGAAGAGATATGAGAAACTCGAAGGACTTTGTGGTCCACTAAGTCATGAACAAAGTGCAAGTTGATGGCAATGTGTTTCATGCGAGAATCCATGATTGGATTGCTGTTGAGATAGGTTGCCCCTATGTTATCACAATAAAGCGCAGGGGGTGTGGATGGATGGATGCCAAGCTCATGAAGAAGATTAAGAATCCAAACCATTTCGGAGCTACCTGCTGCTAGTGCTCTGTAGTCTGCCTTTGTTTAGCTTCGTGCTACAGCTCGTTGTTTGGTTGCTTTCCAAGACACTAGATTGGAGTCAAGATACATCACATAGCCAGTTATAGAGATTAAAGTATCCTTATCACCAACCCAATCAGCATCAGAAAAACCATGAAGAAACAAAGAGGTTTGTGGACGAAGCAAAGGCCATGAAATTTTGTACCATTAAGATAGCGAAGAACACGTTTCACTGCTTTCTAGTGAAGATCAGTAGGGTTATGCATGAATTGAGATAGCCGGTTAACAGCAAAGCATAAATCTGGCCGAGTTAGAGATAAATGTTGAAGGGAACCAACAATTTGTCTATATGCCGTTGGGTCGGTGAGTGAGTGACCTGAGAATTGCAGAAGAGATGTTGTAGAAGAGAAGGGCGTGCTTACTGCTTTGGCATTGTCCATGCCCGCTCGTTGCAAAATGTCTTGGATATACCATTGCTAGGAAAGAAATAAGCTAGCACTAGTTTGAATAGCTTCCACTCCGAGAAAGAAATCCAGTTCACTAAGATTTTTCACTGAAAATTTGGAACTCATGGCAATGATCATATGGTCAATAGCGACAGGATTGCTTCCAGTGATAAGTATATCATCTACATACACCAAGATATAAAGCCAATCAGTATTCTGATGAGAAATAAAAAGGGAGCAATCTGACTTCAAGTTGGTGAGACTGTGAGCAAGTAGAAACTGTTTTAATTCTCGAAACCACATTCTTGGGGCTTGTTTAAGCCCATAGAGAGATTTTTGTTTTAAAGGGAAGAGCCATATATAACGACTAAAAAGATCGATGAACAAAACAAAATAGTTATAACCATTGATAGATAAAACTGGAGCTGGACCCCAAATATCTGAATATATAATTTCTAATGGTGCTTGACTCTTGACAAAAGAATGACCAAAAGATAGCTTGTGACTCTTTGAACAAAGGCAAGAATCACAAGAAAAATGCTCTACCTTGGATGATGTCGGTAGGCTGTTCTTACTAAAAATTTTATTTTGAACCTTTGAGGATGGATGTCCTAACCGAGCATGCCAATCTATCAAAGAGGTACGTTCACCCACCAAAGCAGTTGGTTGTGATCTAGATTGGTCCATGAGAGGAAACTCATACACCCCATTTTTGTTTTGTCCACAAAGCAATATCGCCCCCGTGCTGTGATCCTTCACAAAAAAATGAGTAGCGTGAAATTCAACAATAACATTGGTTGATCTGCATAATTGATAGACAGAAATTAAATTTCTAGAAGCACCAGGTACACATAAAACATTGTCTAAACGAAGAGATGTATTTTGTGTGGAAACTATAGTTTGTCCCACATGTGTGATTTCCAATCTTGAGCCATCACCGATTAGGAGTTTATCAAGACCAGTGTATTGGGAATGCAGAGTTAGGTTCACCAAGTCAGAAGTCACATGACTATTTGCACTTGAATCAATGAGCCAATTATTAGCAGAGTTATGAGACATAACTGTAAAAGTTGCCATAGGTGAGTTAGGCAATATACGAAAGTGGGAATAATTTTGTGCCGTGTGGCCTAACTTGTTACACAATTGACATGCCAAGGGAGTATGGTTGCTAGGCTTGTTTATGGAGTTTTGGTGAGCCATGGTGTCGTTTGAGAAGGAGGCTCTGATACCACTAATAGAGTTTGAACAAGGGAATTATGAATGACTTAATTCTATTCATGTTTATGCAACACTTATATATACAGGCGCACAAGTACAAACCTAGTAACCCTATTACCAAGGGAAACATACTATAACATGCACTAAATCAAAGATTGACATAAATAAGGAGTGGGAATTGCTCATGAAGAGATTGCGGAGATCTTTTCCTTAACATAACGCACAAGAAAAATGAAACTCCTCAATTGTTTTGGGTTCTCTTCTTTTTGATTTCGATGGGTTTTTGTGTTACCGGGCTTTTGATAAGTTTTTGTTCTCTAATTGAGAATAGAAGATCAATTCCTTAAAGACGTTAATTTCTTGCATTTTCAATTACCAAAAAAACAAATTCTTGCATTTTCTGGCAAATTGGTTTGTTTTTTTTTTTTTTTCTTGGCTTTTTTGGCTACATATCGGCAATGAAGACAATAACTGAGTTCTTATTGGGTAATTTTTTGTGGATTAAAAATGACGTGGCATCCACATGGATTAAAAATGACAATTCAGCATATTTATTTCCATGTTGTGTTCTAGTTGACTGAGAGAATAACAGACATTAACAAAGTTGTAAGAGATTTGATGGCAAATTAATTTTTTATCCAATTGGGACCTTATTTAAGAATTTTGTGTAGTTTAAGACCTTAATTGAGCACAGTTGAAGTTTGAGTCTAAAATTGTAAATTTTGTACAAATTCAGGTCCTTATACCATTCGCTTGCCCTCTTTTTACTGTCCAATTTTGTTGAGATATTGAAAGTGAGGAATGAGCATAAATTCGCATTCGAATATATTCCATGATTCGAATAAACAGACTTAAGTGATTTACAAGGGAAAAAAAAAAAAAGAAAAAAGAATAGACTTCAGTAAAAGGCTCTGATATGAAATCAAGAATCATTTCATCTAAAACTTAAGTTGCAATTGATTCTTTTAAGGGAAAGACTCTTTTACATATATAAAACGGGGTTGGCCTAGTAAATAAGGATTATTTTTTTTATTTAAAATGTTATAATAAATTTCAATCATTAAAAACGGAAAGATGAATAATTGAGATTTTTTATAAGTGTGATATATAAAATTTGTATATTATACACAAAATTTACATGCAATTTTTACACAAAATCTTAATCATTCATCTTCTACTTTCAATAGTTTAAATTTATTCATATTTATTAAAAATAATTATTTTTAAAAAAATTATAATAAATTTCAAATATATATTGACCTAAAGAGGTGAATAATTAAAATTTTATATAAATGTGATATATAAAATTTATATATTAATAAATCCCTTCTCTCCATATATATATATATATATATATATATAAACACACCACGTTAGAAATCAATAACTTCACCTTAAAGCTGAAATAAGCTGAAGTCAAGTGACAACCCAAACACAATGTCAAAATCTACAAAAGCTAAAGCTTTTTCAATTATTAAAAACATCGGCACTATGACATGTTCAAAGAATTGTTTGCAATTAGAATCCAAAAGTCTTGTCTGCTTTGCATATAATGCAATGGGGCTCTTATCTCTAACAGTGGAATACTGTCGGTTAATGTCCTAGATAAAGCTTTTTCACAATGAAAAGTTGGAAGGATATATATCATCAGTGCTCAGACATGAAAGGGAAAGATCAACCACTTAAATTTGATAGAGGTTGAGAATGGATTTAACTTCAGGTACAAGGATGATCAAGCAGCTTGTTGTAGAATCCGGAGACTTGTAGGTTTCCGTTCACGTGAATTTGTTGCCTTTGACAATGAAGCTTGGTTCTTGCTTTCTCCACAAATGTCTTGCCCATGATCTTCAAGAACAAGGGTATATATGTGTCAACATAGAGGACAAAATGGAATGACAATGCAGAATTGCCATGCTAATTAGATAAGTTCAACGTTTTGTATATACACATGATTGTCAAAGCTTTTTAGTACCTGTAATTGCACCAAATCAGAAGTCCTTCTTCAGTCCGTATCTGCACTCCGGATTGACGTGCAAAGCCTTGAGGTGGGTTTTCGGGGTAGACACTTCGATGCTTAAGTTAACAATAATCGAGGCTACCTTTAGAGCGGAGATGAAAGGAGCTTAGGGTTGGTTTCAATTACCTTTTTGACATGGTCACTGGGGGTATTTATAGGCTCCAGTGAAGAGCCCACGTGGCATGCCAAGCAAGATAATCAGAGCCTGACGTGTCTAACCAAACGGTTATTTCGGGATCGAGAATTTGAGAGATATTCAGAGGCAAGGATGTCCATCATAACTACTGTGCAGGTCATCATAAAGAATCAAGTGCGGGTATACTTATTGTCGCTGTCATGCAGCTGTTTGAGTGGGAAGCTTTGGATTTATCCTTCACTTCAGTCATAAAGGAATTACTGTAGTAGTCCAAGGCTGAGCACCTCAGACCTATCCTTACACTATTAAATGTAATTACACCAAACCAGAAGTCCTTCTTTAGTTCGTATCTGCACTTCGGATTGACCTGCAAAGCCCCGAGGTGGGTCATCGGGGTAGACATTCCGATGCTTAAGTCAGCAATAATCGAGGCTACCTTTAGAGCGGAGATGAAAGGAGCTTAGGGTTGGTTTCAATTACCTTTTTGATGTGGCCCATGGGGGGTATTTATAGGCTTTAATGAGGAGCCCACGTGGCATACCAAGCAAGATAATCGGAGCCTAACATGTCTATCCAGACGGTTATTTTGAAACTAAGAATTTGAGAGATATTCAGAGGCAAGGATGTCAATCATAACTGCTGTGCAGATCATCATAAAGAATCAGGTGCAGGTATGCCTATTGTCGCTGTCATGCAGCTGTTTGAGCGAAAAGTTTTAGATTTATCATTCACTTCGATCATAAAGGAATTACTGTAGTAGTCCGAGGCTGGGCACCTCGAACTTATCCTTACAATACCTTAATTAAGAGAATAAGAGAAGAAAACACGAGGTGTAATTAATTAGTGTTATTTTGGTAATAAAGCCTCAAGATGAACTTGTAAGCAAGGAGATATTGTTTTGTAGGATAAATTTAAGATTAAGTCTTGAGATAACCTACAAAACATTTAATTACTCCCTCTGTTTCATATAAATAGGTATTGTGGAAGGAAATTTTGTTTCAAATAATTGACGTTTTTAGAAAATAATGATTCATTAATTACTTTTTTTTTCATGTATGTACAAAAATTTTTTTTTTTTCATTTTTACGCTTTTTCTTAACCCATAAATATAGAATTATTAGCAACGAGAAAATAAATTATTTTTTTAGATCAGTGCTAGAAACATTCTCTTTAATTTTTTTAAAAATACTTTTTATGTGATTAGGTCAAATAAAATATAAATTTAATTTGATTAATAATTAGTAATTCACATTAAAATTATATTTTTAAAATTTAAAATTATAATCAATTGCATTAAACTTACGTCACACTATGTGTCCTAATCGACAACGTTCAAAGGCCAGTATCAGACAGTGTCTCAGCATTTTTTTTTTTTTTTTTTGTCAGCAACATAAGAGAACAATTTTAAAAGGATAAAATTAAGAGCACCAAACTTACGGTGAGGTTTCCTTATCAAAAATCATTTGAAAAAGCGAAAATCATACACTTGGGCATAGTGGTCCAATGATTTTAAACTTTTTTTGACCTTTTAGCTGGAGTTCGAATCCCATCCACACATTGTACATCGTTCAAAAAAAAAAAAACAAAAATCATGCTTATGATGTAATTTGGAATTATAAATTTATAATCAAAGTGT